ATCATCTTGGCTACGGATATCTTTACCTTACCTTGCTCTAGTGGGTACCTGATCTGACTGCCGTCACTTTCATCTCAACTCGCCCCGTGAGGCGTGAGAGCACTGTCGAACTTCTGGCCATAGCTCCCGCAGCTCATCCGTACATATCCGTACTATGACTTACATTCATTCTTCTTGCTCATTCTTCCTCCCTTGGATGAATAGGAACACTACTCCCAATGTCCCGCAAACCATTTTGAACTATTGTTCAAACATATGTTTGCCACATTGCTTATTTCTCTCTTCTCTCACTCACAGTCCCACTCACTCACTCACTTACTCACTACACCTCGCCATCAAACAGCTCCCCTCATTCCAATATGCCTCGCCACGAGCCCCCAGCCGTCGTTGGCTTAGAGCCTTAGCCGCCCTCACTCACACACAGCGGCCATTCCGACGCAGGGGGTAATCCCACCTCTCTGACCTCTGCTCTGCCACTCTCCCAGACCTCGTATTGTGACCTTCCTTCGTTAGTTTGCTGAGCACACATTCCCTGTGTGACCTCATACCTCCTCCATGGCCTTACTTGACCCCACCTCTCATGCCGGACTTGACAGCTGCCCACAGAACCGCGAGAACGGCACGCCAGGTCTCCCACCATGACCCCCCAACATCGCGGGTGGCCAGACGGCCTTTGGCCTCTCGCCTCCCGTGGTCCGGGTCTCTTTTGTTACGGGCCTCCGCGTCTTAAGGACAGTCTGACAGCTCAAGTGTTGCCTTATAATGCACCTCAACCCTCTTCATGCGTACACAACCCATTGGCCCTAGATCATCGTGGTGACGCCAGCCTTTAGCCATCTTCGCCGCTAACTGGGAAGATCTCTCTTCGTCTTCCATTCTCTGGGCTCTGGGCTGGGCCACGGCCATCGGTCTAGGACTTCGATTCGTCGGCATAGCTACAGTGTAGCTCTTGTGTTGTTGGTCTGGCCACAATTCCGGGCCTCCCTCCCAACTCGTTGACCAAGTCGGTAAGCGGATTGCATGAGAATCAAGCATCAGGGTCTCAACATCGCCACGTCAAACATAATGCGCGGTCACAGTCAACAAGTCTGAGGCTCATCTGCCTCGTTTTTGCAGTCTTTGGAAGTCTATATTTCGGAATCTTAAGCAGGGCCCGGCTATCTACTCGGCCTAGCAGGTTCCCCCATGTGCCTCGCATAACCTGACGCGAAACATCATCCACCGGCGCCTGCTGAGCTTCTGTGAACGAGTACTCTGACAGCATGATCATCCTCCAGGCCTCCTGCAGACAGCCAGCGGTATTATTGGACGCAAATGGCAAACGTCTTTGCCCTCGCTAAGGTGGTTCATGCATGTGCAAGAAGTCGACAACCTGATTGAGCCACGTCTACAGCCCCAATTCAAAATCACCAACCTCACTGCAGCGCTTCCCCAGACCAACAGATAGGTATGTCGCCTGTGACATGCAAGGCTCTGACACCGATGCGTCGGGCATTCAAGGGAATGCATACTGCCCTTGCTTCGAGCCCTCCGTTACAGTTATTCTTCACTTCTTCGCCGTCAGTTAGTCGAGGGGGGAGAGGCTGGTCACTGAGACGTAACTCTGCATCAAAGTTCCGCTCCTTGATTCATTCTTGCCATTTGCTCCGGCTTCCTGCAGGTCGGAATTCCTTCCACAACAACCGATAAACGGTCCACCAAAATCAATCATCTAATCTAGATGGGGCGCTGGTGTCGTTGACACTGAGGCGCGCCGAGTAAAGGCGCAGGCCATAGGTAGCTCGCCAATCCTTTGACAAACTTTTTGAGACATCTATTGTGCTTCTAGGTTCTACCCAACTCATCGAAGATCATCTGAATCAAAAATTCACACAAATGAGACACCTTTTGTCTTATTGTGTCCAATGTGGCGAGACATGCTCACCGGCATTTCATTCAGCGGCTGGGAGCTGCATCAAGTGGCATAGCGAGACTTAGCAACCACCTCAAACATACAATTGCGGTGGTTGGGTTTTAGCAATACAGTTTCACTATCAGCTTCTATTTTGCATCATTTCGACATTTCTTTCCTTTTGCCTTTGGCTCTGCATCATCATCAATGCTCGCTGCACTGCAGTCAATGAATCCCCCCGGCGGGCAATCGGCGCCACGGTGGGTCACTTCCCTTCCGATGCTAGCGAGCGACGTGCAGGGACATCGGCGTTTCAGACAACATCTCGGCCGATAGGCCGCACATGGGGGTACGAGGGGAAACAGAAAATGAGGAGGCTGGGAGAATTTCCAGACCAGGGGCGAGGAATTCCCAACCTCTTTATTTCTCGAAAATGGTCTGGAGTTTTGCTCAAGTGTTTAAATGTCTTTCACCCCTCTCTAAGCCCCCTGCTGCGGACGTGCAATGCGGGTTTGGTGCCCCCTTGCATGACACCATGGGCTTACACCGGTACACCGTGGCACTGTACAACGCCGCCGGCTATAAGAAACCTGGAAAATTGGAAGCGTATGTTCGGTCAATCATCTAATGAGTGAATGAGGTCTGCATAATGATGGACACGTAGCTAGCTTGTGGCCATCTGTGAGACGGGGCGCTCATGGCTGGGACCTTGCAATAGTGCACTGTTGAGTCCAAGGCTGCGAGTTTCGGTTGATTTTACTTCAATGGATGCTATGGGTGAACTTCGGCTCTTAGACTTGATGAGGTGAAGACGTGGTGAAACGAGGTGGCTGGTTGAACCAAGCCAGCTTCCAGGCAATGTGAGGTTGATGTGAAGCGATCGCCAACTTCATTGTTGTCTTCATAATTGATATCTTGAATACCCTGCCAGACTATGTAACACCGCATATCACAAGTTTGTTGCCACTCGTCACAGCCCCAATACCATTCAAATGAATGTAGTCATCAGCATGACTACAGAGTTGTCTCAAACAGTGGAGATGAGTGAGGCAAGACGGCCTTAGCAGAGCATCAGTGAATCTCAGCATATGCACAAAACATGCATAATGTTGCCATGAATGGAAATGAAGAAACATCAGCAATCGTTGGATTGCAAGCTTCATGCCTCCACGACGTGTCGATCTTGGCCGGTATGTGTCTTCGAGACTTCATATGTCGGAAGTCAATCCTTCATCGCTACCTTGTTCATTCTCTATTACCGGCAATTGTTGATATCGAGTAGTGGTAATCTGCATTGGATGACAATTTATCTTAATTTCACCCTGGAGGGAAGTCTACTCTAAGCACATGATTGCTTCCAGGTCACTACGTGTCTTGCAAAGCTCCATCCGCCACAGTGTCATCTACATTACGCAGGCTGTATGTCTGAATTTGATATCCAAAGTTCCCACAGGACGTGTGAAACTTGGAAATTGTATAAAGTTGGTCCTCTCAAGTCCAGATAACTCAATTGAGCTTCACAAGGAGCCTTCAGCCAAGACTCCAGGAAATGGAAATGAGTGACGTCGTTAAATTCACAAATACATATTCATATCAATCATGACAACCTTGGTCTAATACTGAGAGACACCAGATGGCTTCACCATTACTTGGGTATCTGGACGTATATCGTTCATCACTAAGCTTCAGAATCTAGATCTAACATCTTATTCCCCTAACACATCTTCAAGCCATAGCTACTGAAACAGAGCATTCTAGATAGTCATACGTAACATGTTGGTGTTCCTAACTCCAAGCCGTCTTCTTTTTGGATCACACTGAGAGCCTTAGACTGTAACTTGTCAGCTCTTCGATACACAGTGGTCAGTAGAAGAGTTTCAGATGAAGAGTTTCAATGTTAAGGATCATTGCCGCGCTTCGAAGAGGTCAATCCCAGGGCTTAGCATGAGGACTTCATAAGCGGTTATCGAATTGTGGAGAACGAGACACAATGATTGTGTCTATATTCACCTAATCAAACTCGAGACAGGTTCTTCAGCTGTATGTTCATCTGTTCTTTCTGTTGATATTATACGTTACAATTGTGAGCTTCCAGCTCATTGCAAAGGTTGCATGCAGTTAAGATGAGGGAATAGAGAATCTCTCTAGAACCATCAATACTAGGAGTATAATCCATCGCTTCTACGTCTTCATTTGAAATTCTGCCTGTTTGTTTATACCGGCTTTAGTGGCCGCCGGTACAATAACTGGCTGTGTTACATTCTCATATCTTTGAGTCATCTTGGCAATGGCGTGTAAGGTAATCGCATGTACTTAGAACTAACAAGGCAAATGAAGAGTTGACATGCCGAAGAGCACGTCAAGTATAGCGAATTTAGGTGTTTGATTGAATGACGGCTCAACAAGACGAATCTGAAAGGCAAGAAGAATATGAAATACGAGAATTTCACAGCCGAAGAATACTGTGTGAGTCTCTTTGACTTGTCAAGACTATAAGAATTCGCAAAAAAGTTTCAAATAAGGTAATTATGCATCGTTCTAGGAAAGATATTGTTAAAAAAGCATTACTAACACTTCGGGCGAAATCTCTCCTTCAAGAGCCTCGATCAAAGAGAGTCGCAAAGAAACTCGACAACATGGTAAAGGATTCAAGATGTAGATTGCATTTCAAACGCCAATTACATTAACTTTTCGTTCTATCACGCGCCGATGAAATGGCATAAAATCTGCCTCATGCATGACAACATAAGAAGACAGACAGTGGTGCCGCGAAACGATTCTAAAATTACTAAGGCAATGAGATGGCACGACATTGTCACTTGGAAGCATCACTGGCCCTATCTTGATTCATGACACATGATTTATTTCATTGAGCCCAATATGTGTGGACTTTCTATTATCATTATACTCCCATACCTCATAGATCCATCACTCAACCATCTCCCGGATTATATTAGGTATGATAGGCGCCAAGTTACAGGGTCTTGTTGTTGGCCGAGCCAGATTCGTGTCCAGGAAATGGTGAAAGAGGGACATAGAGGGTGGTGAAGTGCGCTTAAGGAATGTGATTATTGCGTCTTGCGTAATTTAGAAGATATGTTTGATGCCTTTACGCGAACCAGCTCTTGACCCAGTCGGTGGCGCGCTTGTAGCCCTTGTAAGTGCCGTAGGCGCTGTAAGTCTGAGGGACCGGGGTGGGGCTCGGGGTTGTGGCCGGTGGGGCACCGTAGGTGCCGTAGCTTCCGTACTTGCTGTAGTCGTACTTTCCGTAGTTGGTGTAACCCGATGTAGCTTGAGGGGCGGGAGCGGGAGCGGCCTCGGCGTTGGCCTCGGCAACAGGAGCGGCGAGGGCGGCCGAAGCGGCGGTGAGGATGAGAATGGCAGAGACCTTCATGTTTGCGTTTGGTGAAGAAGGGAAGTATGTAGATAAAGCGGTTTGGCTGGTTGAAGTGACTTTGGCTCTGATGACTTGATTAAGTGAGATGGTTGTTTGATGTGTGATGATGATGAGAGAGAGGTTATGAGATTGATGGGGGGATCATGGGCAATACTTATGGAATAACCAAGCCGAGATTCAAGTTGCAGACGGTGGTGTTGTCTAACACTCTTCCATGACTACTACACCGGCCACCCTTGCGCTTGACTGCTGAGGGAATACACCGCATCTGGCATCGTGCTGATGACCTAGTAATCGTTGAGATGGTGTTTCCCTTTGGTGGATGAAGGGTCTCTAGGCTAATGTGAACGGTTGCAAGGGAGCCCTTGAACTGAGAGCTCGCTAAGGTAGAAAGCACAATGCCTCTGCAAGCGAGGGTACGCCTTGGAGGCAGAAACTTGTAAGATGACAAGGTGAGCGGTTGAATGGGTTGTGAATGGCGTCACAAGCTCATCCGGATCCGTCCGGGACGGCCGCAGGATGTTAGGAGTAGCCTCACGATGTCTCGAAGCCATCGGGCGATGTCTATACCACGCTAGTATGGGGGGCTCGCATGGCTTAGAGGACTTCAACAACCGGCTAAGAGATCGTCCTCGTATTCTTGCATCTCTGATGGTGTAGATGATGCAGAGATCTTTGCATGTGGGTGTCATGACCGGGTAAGGGAGCTCCGAATGGTCGAAAGTGGGCTGTCAGTCAAAGCTCGCCTATGGATCAAAGATCACGTTGGCTGCCACTGCTGGAAATGGAGCCGGGATCAAGTCCAAGATGTGAGTTCTTCACCTTCTGTTCGAAGGTTGAACTGCAAAACATGTCTTGTCATCTGGTCACAGAAACCATGATGCAAGCTCGAGGAAAATCCGATCCGGGCCGACTTCCAAGATACCAGTGACTGACACAATCGCGGTCGGTAGCACGAGTGGAACCGCCCTCATGGCTACTGGGCTGATATCGCCGTGTCTGAGAAAAGTGTCTGACATTGATAAACATCGTGATTTGCGAGATCAAGCACGCTGGGAAGCCCAATTGGGAATAGCCTCATAGCCTCAGTCCAACTCGAGCAAACTCCGAGGTGAAGTCTGTGGTGGGGGAGCTTCTTCTCTAATTCTGCACGCTGACGGAGATCAGCCCTACTAACACGGAATTGGCTGCGGGACAAGCGGTTGCGTTAGTGTCAGCCCCCGCCCTTCTTTCCATGCTATTTCGGTGATTGATCTCGAAGCTTGAGTAGCTCCAAGACATGGTAGCGTGGATAGCCGGGAGTGGTCGTGGCGGGTTCTTGGTGGGAGGTTGTCTTTTAGTGTCTCTTTACTGTATTCTTGAACTTTCCCATCCCGCTACCTCATGCAGATCCATGAGTCGACAGAACCATGCAGGAGTCCATGCTTCTTTGGTACACGAAGGTCTCTCGGCAAGCGCCCGGCAGGGGCCTCTTAACTCACATTCTTCTCGCGCTTATCCCGACGGCATGGCTTTAGGTCAGTTCGGCGCAGTGTGGTTGCGACGGCGGCTGTGCATGGTGCCGGATACATGGTCCCGGACACGACCGGAGGAAATTAGAAGGACGTCGTACCGTAATACAGATGTCTCTCGTACCTTTGCTATGACAAGAGCAGAGGATATTTTCAGACGATTCTCGGTGAACTCGAAGTTTGACTGAGGCCGGAAACTCGGAGGCTGCCACGTTGGGGGCGGTGGCTCCGTGGGCTGGAAGTCTACTATGTGGATGGTATCTAGCGTTGAAATAACCAAGTCAGGCCAAGTGAGGGCTGGGGTTGAGATTCGGTCTCATCGGAGCACGACTGAAGCCGATCTACCACGAGTCTAGTTGGGCTTTCTGTGTAGTCAGTGATTTTGTGCCTTTACCATGTCACACGCAAGGGATGACACCAAATCCTAACGAATTGTGCAATTGCTCGAGAGCTGCCTTGTCGGAAACAATTCTCGATACGATGTCTTAGAAGTCCCTCGACATATACGGCGACTGTCGACATTGTAGACTGGTAAGCTCCCTACAGATACGAGATCTTACTACCCCAGACCGTCCATCTGGCATCACGTCTGGCGGCGGGGGAAAGGTTCGGAAACTTTGCGATTGGTGCCCGCAGGCGTCGAAGCTGCAAACTACCAGCCTAACATTAGACAAGCGAGACAACCACCACGCTAACGATGGCGATCCGTTCAACTTCCTCTCGTTTTCCCCTTCTTCTTTTTTTGGGACAGAGAAAGAGCTCATGCCGGGTTTCCCAGCCTTGGCATCATGTGAGTTGCTAGGATGCCAACAAGACTGGCAGGCAGCAATTCCCGCCTCTCGGCCCACGCTTCGTGGCTGCCTCTCCTCGCGCAACAATCAGCCGCATGCGCCGGCGGATCAGCTGCAGCCAAACTATCGACGACGACATTCCTGCCGCGGATGCCGTGTTCTGGTACCAAATTTGGTGTATTGGGTCGTGGCAGGTGGGGGTTGTTCGTGTGGTAGTGTTGGCGGGCGATTGAGTTTTGAGCATTCCAGCTGCTTTCGGTAATCGCGTGGCAACCTTGACGGCGCACCAAATATACAGACGCCTCATTGTTTTTTCTGGCTACATGGGCATGTGTGAGCCGTAGTTGGAAGGCTAGCGAGCATTCCTCATGTCAGACAAGAGTCGTTGGGTAGTCCGTCATGCCCGTTGCTCCCTCGGCCGAGCTTCCCTTGGATCACGATCGCTCCATATTCTTCCTCTCCTTCAACTTTTTTTTTCCCTCGACGCGTTACTTACGGCTATTTGATTTTGTCTCTATCTTTTACTTCTCGCCCCCTAGTGCCCATTTCGTCGAAACCATGATGCAAGAAAAGGAAGATGAGTCGAGCTCGAGGCTGCTCGTTGGCCGCGTGAACGACGCTGAAGAGGATCTCGAGTCTCTGCAATCTGTTCCCGACGCGAGGCAGCATGATATACAGAGAAGAAGAGACTGGAGGAGGACTGCAGCTGTAGCTGTGGTCTTCGTGGTCTCAAACCTTTTTTCTATGCACTTGGGTGTCCATATGAGATCGACTACAGCGGACTTAGATGGCGCTTGTGCTGCTCACACGACTCAATGGTCGCCAGTATTGGAAGACGTGGACGTAACATACGACTGGAAGCATTTCAACGGATCGTTCCTACAGGAAGACATCTTCAGGAAAGAAGCTTCGCCAGAAGTTGATGCGGCATGGGAGTCAATGGGTGTGGATTGTGAGCAACATCCAATTTCATGGCTTCTCGCCTGGTAGCTAACAATCTGGAGATCGTGCCGGGGTCATCTCAATTGAAGATGGCTTAAAGAGCGGCCTAGACATGTCTTTTGTAAGAAGGTCGGAAAAGTACGGCGCGGGCTTCTTCGTCAACGTCGAGGGGATGCACCACCTTCACTGCTTGGTAAGGTCTATGGCAGCGACTCAGCGTGAAACGAGTGGTGCTAATGATTGATGCAGAACTTGGTTCGGAAATCCCTTTACTACAACTACGACTACTACAAGAAGATGGGCACGCACGCTTTCGCCAACGAGGAGCACATCGTTCGTCTTCATGTCTGTAAGTGGCAGTCATTCTCCCAACATTTTCGATAACAACTAACCCTCGTAGCACATTGCCTAGACACCATCAGGCAAGTCCTGGTCTGCAACGTTGATACCGGTGTTCTGGGCCAGGTCTGGGCCAGCGACCCCCCGGCTCCTTTCCCCGACTTCAACACTAAGCACATGTGTAAGAACTACGGGGCGATACAAGAATGGGCAGAGAAGCTTCAAGTGAGTAAAGTGTGGTGTCTGAGTTTGGTAGTATGAACGCAAGCTGATAATGGTATACAGGCTCCTCCCGTCGATACCCTCCCGGGCGACTATACTGCACCTCCCGAACCAAGTGATGTTCTGCCCACAACACCATGAGCACCAGAGTAGAGAGGCAATATTGATGTAGGATTCAGATAGACGAATGACGCCAAAACATAATGACGAATAGAGTTCAATACCATGATGTACATCTGAGACCCTTACGTGAGGCGTCTGTAGCCCTAGGACTGCATATCCTTTGGCCACTAGTAGTTGAATTCCTGACCAACAAGCTTCTCGCTCAACTTCCACAACCTATCCGCCTCAATCTTGTTGTTCGCCCAGGGGTAGATTTCCTCATCGTACTGGTCGGCGATGCGGCAGTCATTAAAATACTGTCCGTTGTGACCTGCGCAGCATTAGCTGTCTGGTACGTAACCTGCGACTTCGAAGCACTGCCGAGTAACTCACTCTTGATGTCCGGACTGAATGCCGTGTAAACATGAGTAGCGATGCCCTGATCTTCCGTCTTTGGGTGGAATTCTGTCCACATGTTCTTGGTGCCCATAATGATTTCCGTCTCTCCTGTTTGCACCGCGATTAGCGACATGTTTTTCTCTTTTCTTTTGCCATGATGTCGTCATGAGTGCTTTACTTACGCAGTGAATCGAAGCTTTCCAAGTGGCCCCCAAGGTTGGTAAAGATGACGCCCGGATGCAGACTGAAGCTCAGGAGACCCTTATTGCCCAGCTTCTCCGCGAGCGAGAGGGCCATCAGGCAGTTGGCCGTCTTGGATTGCGCATAAGCGATCCACTTGTTGTAGTGCTTGCCGTCCTGCGTCACGCTCTCCTGTCAGTGTCTGCGGTCAAGGTACTATACGTACAGTACGAGCACTCACATTGAAGTTGTAATCCGTCCAACGGATACGGCTCAACCGGTGCCCATCGCTGCTGACCGTCACGATCCTCGGCTCCTTTGCGGCGAGAACCTTTTCCAAGATCAAGTTTGTGAAAAGGAAGGGTCCGAGGTGATTCGTTCCAAACTGGCTCTCAAAGCCATCTTCCGTCTTGCTCCAGTCCGTAGCCATGATGCCCGCATTATTCACCAGAACATCAATGTTAGGCGCATCCTCCCACCCATTCACAGTCTCCGCAGCCGCCCGCGCGCTCTTGAACGAGCTCAGGTCCAGCTCAAGCGTCTTGACAGCAACGGCCGGGAATGATGACGTAACGGCATCGGCGGTTTGTTGGACTTTGGTGGTGTTGCGGCCAGCGAGGATGAGGAGGGCCGGAGAGGCGGCGGCTACTGCTTGGGCGAATGCGGCGCCGAGGCCGCCGGGGGAGACGCCGGTTACGAGGATTGTTTTACCGGCGATGTGGGAGGCGTACTCGGTGACGAGTTCGGTGCCTGTTGTTTCGCGGCCTAGTGTGGGAGTCATGGCTTCTCTGCTGAGCTGATTGTAGAAAGGTTGCTGGAATACGTAGATGTCTAGAGTTCAATGGTTGTACGAATTGGTGGAAAGCCGTTGATAATTTGTTGGAGATAGCATCAACTGCAGACAGGTGGCCTGTTTGTCTTTATAGCAGCTTTATTTATGGTCATTTACATTCGCAGTCTCACTTCCGCATGTGGTAGTACAAATCCAACGCCATCATCTGCAGCCGCAAGTAAGAGGCCTCTTAACTCCAGACCCCATGAGCATGAGCCGAGTGGGAGCCGAACGCCCAGAACTCACCTCGAGAATCATGGATCATGAGGCTGTATACTGCAGGTTGCTGTCCTTCATGTTCGATTACAGCCTACAAGGGACAAAAGTTCAAAACCAACGCAGCTCCAGGGTAAGCTGAAGGGAACTTTGGTTGAGGTGGCCACTAGATGTAGCCCGGTGGGATTGCATTGCCTGTATAGTGTATCCATATCCGTACTCATTCGGTCTTTACAACAAAGGAGGCTTGAATGGCGGTAAACGTCTCGTCGGCGTTAGGTTGAAAGATGCTGCCAACACAATTTCCGTCTCAAAATCAAGCTGGAAAGTTATCTATCGCCGAATTATTTTGGCCTCGTTGTCGGACATTGGTGTAAATCAAAGTGACGCGAGCAACTAAGAGGCGCCCAAGCCGGAGTTAAGAGACGGAAACCCCTTTAAGGTCCGGGTCTTGGAGGAGAAGACGGTACCGTAACTTTTCCGTGTTCCCGTCTCCCAAGGCAGAGGGATCAACATTTAACGACATAGCGAGTCAACCTGAACCCCATCCCGTCCACACGGCAGATATTCCTTGGCACACCGGCGCAGGCACCGTGAACTCAATTGAAACACAACGGGCCGCCCCGATGGTCCCCCACTCCGGAAACCCACGGACCCCGTCGCAGCACCGTCACTTGCCCGGGCGCTTACCGGATATCATCATATCAGCCATCGATGACACTCTCTCTGGGGACAGAAACCTACCTTAGTACCTCAGGTATTTGTACCTTTCTCCTTGATGGTTTGCTGCTTTACTGTAATTGCAAATGTTTATTGACTTGATACCTAAGCAAATACATTACCAAAGAGAATGTCAACGAATGAGCTTCCTGGCTGCACAGCCTGCCTCACTTCCGGGCGTTCCTATGCGCCATGACTGTAGGTAAGTAGAGTACTAGTAAATAAGGAAGTAGGTAGAAAAAGGTAGATGGCATCTCGGCACGGGAGCACCGGCTTCTACAGTGACACCGCATTTCAATCCTCCAGTCGAGACTCGAGCCCCCCTATCCGATCTATATTCTCACTAGTGCCTTTGCTTCGTAGTCCCCCCTTCTTCACCAACCAAAAGCTCTTAAAACGTCCCTCGCCCTGATTTAAATCGTCGCAGCCCAGGCCGACTCATCCGTCCGCCATTCACCATCACAACTAAACCTGCTTCAGCCTCCTTATCAACGCCATTGCAACGTATTTTCTGGGTCTTGGCAAGGATACAGGGGGGCGGGTGGGATGGCCTAGTGCTCCCCGGGTCCAATGAAGCCTCCGTCCCGGGACCGGCGGATCGTTGCCCACTATCCCATTCCTATCCCACGCGGCCCATCTTCCCGGTTACCCACAGGTATCCGAAGATACTTGAGCTGTTTACTGCTCTTCCAACGTGCTTCGTTAAAAACATTTGCTTCCCCCCTCCTTTATTTTCCCCTCGTGCAACCAGAGTTATTCCGCCTCACGTTTCTCCGTACCTTGTGGCCAGCTATCTTACGTTGGATTTGTGCGACCTGTCAATCGAAACACGCAACGTCAGGAGGGTCACATTACTAGCCTACCTTAGGCGCAACATATCCTCTTCGTTTTCCACCTGCTTCACAGAGAACCGTATCCGAGACTCAATGACTGAGAGCTGTACGATAATATTTACTCGAATGTCATGATGACTCTAGGTGTACCCGAAAACCAAGACACATATATCACAGTATTCAACGCCTCAAACGCCGATATGCCACCTACACCGTCACATCCGATGCTGTCCGCCTCGTGGCTCGTTACTTCGACGACTACTCGTCTCGCGTGCAAAGACTCTCGATCCAGCGTGCCAGCTCTACGCTCTTGACATCGACGGTCCTCCAAAAGACATCGCTGCCCCATACCGTCGGTACACCAAGCAAGACAATTCCGAGAAACCACGCCACGAGTCGCCCAATCACGCCAGTCTCGTCTCTGCCACCGACAAGTGCCCAGACGTACGGCATCCAGCGATGCGAGAAGACGTCGAGAACGGGGCCGTGGACAAGGTAAAGCGCGTAGCTGATGTCTGCGAGGTACTGCGCCAGTGGCGTCACGAACAGGTTCTGCAACACTTTAATGTGTTGCAGAGTAATGACAATCTGGAATGCGCCAAGGGCGTACCAGGGGAAGGAGACGAGGTCGCCGCCCATGGTGAAGAAAGGCTCCATGGTGTTATGCCAGAGTGGTGACATTCCCGGGGTGATGTCGGCTTTTTGGTTCGGCCAGCCGGCCACAAACAGGGCAAAAATCAAGTTACCGACGAGGAAAGTTTTGAAAACGCGGACTGCAAGGGAGCTTGAAGACGAGTCCGATGCAGTGGAAGATTCCATGTCGGATGCCTCCTTGTTCTGCAAAGCGGCTGCCTTGCGCTCCTGGCGAGCTTCCTCGATCAAACCGACCTCGGCGAGGAACATGCCACCCAGAAACTCGAAGCCGGCCCAGTGGCCGCACTTGAGGCAGTAGATCATGATGGAGAAAACCGAAGCGAGGCGTAAGTACGTCTTCATGCGGCTCACACCAGTGAGAACGACGAACAGGAGTAGCGAGTGGGAGAATTCGATGGGAATGGTCCAAAGATGGACATCATAGGGCAGAATTTGGGTAATATCCCACTGCCAGCTGAAGGTAATTCTCCACACTGCGTTCTTCCAGTCCACCAGCTGCTCCCACAGTGTAGGCAAGGGCTGTCCCATCCATCCTAGGCGAATCATGACGAGAATCATAAAGGTAGACGCAGTGGTAGGCAGGAACAGGCGGAAACCACGGCGAAAGACGCTGCTTGACAGGGTGCGATGCAGTCCATCGTAGTCATGTTTCCTAGCCTGCTTCAAAGATTTGAGAGACAGAACGAAGCCCGAGATGATGAAGAAGATGTGGACCATGGGCCGGCCGCTGAAGATGACGCGCAGGAAGGGCAGTTGCAGCGGGGAGGAAGCGACATGGTCGTTTTCATCGGGAACACCGTATGCCCTCGCGGTAAACCAGCCAACATGTTTCTCGGTGAAGTGGCAGAAGAAGACAATCAGCGATGCGACGCCGCGCAGACCATCGAGCCACGAGGTAGGATATAAGCGCCGGTGCTTGAAGTCGTTGGGTCGGAGTCGGCGCTGGACGAAGGAGGGCAGTAGGAAAAAGAGGATTGCCGTCAATCGTGCGAGGAGGGAGCTGGATTGCGCGGGAGGGTTCGAGCCACCAGGTGATGAGGGTTCTGAATTGGAGTTGACGTTTCCCAGAGGGGAGTAGGAGTATGCGCTCGGGGAGATGCGGGCGACAGCTCCCCGGAGGGAACGAACGACGAGGGGGATCATGGCGATGACGATGGCTATGGCGTCGGCATGCCCTTGAAGAGGATTTCTCGAAGATTTGACGTCGGCTCAAAGAACGGTGGTGTGTGTGGAATGTGTAGTTATCGGCGCCCTGGTCTACGGTATTGCGCGTGGCCGGGTTGGCTGTCGGTTGAACGTGGACTCGATGGGCGGCGGATTGTGTGAGGCGTCGGATGTCACAGTCGACGTGGCTCGGCAGAGTTTCGAGACCACCCGGGCAGACGGACCACAGAGTCAGCAAGGTACGACTGAGGACGAGCCGGAAACAACCGACAGTTCGGCGACGAGGCACAGAGGGAAGCGAAGAATGTTGGCGATCTAAAAAGGTGCGTAGAAAGGTTGAGGGAAAAGTTGAGGGGAAGGAAAGCTAGTCGTGCCGGCTACTCAGTAGAACGGGACTCGACTCGAGATTGGGTTTGGCGGCAAAAAGGGCGCCAGAAGGCAAAGACGGCGGGAGCTTGGCGAGCTTGGCGTCGCGTTGCTCCTTGACAGATGGCGCTAATCTGTCCAGGGACAAGGGGGTAAAATGCCAAAACCGCAAGGGGGAAATGGGAATGGGCCGCTGGTTGGAGATGTCGTACGGATAATCGTGGGTGTGTGCTGCAGGATCGGAATCCTTCTTGCAGGTTGGGTACTTGAGTGGGAATGGCGGCTTACTGACCAGCCTATTGTGCTAGGCCCTAAAAGTGAATGTTGGAGAAGGGAGGAACTCGGGGAAGAAGACGGCGAGTGGATGGATAAATGGGCGTGGATTCCCCTTTCTTTTCCTTTTCTTCTGGAAGCGATGTTGTTCAGAAGCGGCCTTTTGTTTTGACTTGGAGTATTCAGTATTCAATGCAATGCAGGTGGACAGTCAGAGATACGATGAATTGCGGCACAGCTCGTGTTTGCAGCCTGGCTGGCAGCGTCTGCAATGGCGAGAAGAAAGCGCGAATACGCCATGCCTTTACGAATACAACGACAAACGCTGCATTGGACCCCGAGGTGCTGGTTGCCTCGCCTTCGGGTAGGTACGAGATAACAAGGTAAGATGAGATGAGATGAGATGAAATGAGATGGGGAAGCTACGACTCGCTCAGATCATCCACAGCAATGTAAGCATTGAGAGCAGAAACAGACGGGACACGTAGGAATAGAAATTGGAAGGAAAGGATGCATTTTGCATCAATACTCCTTACTAAGGTACCTACCTAGGCACCTTAATGGACAGGCAGGTACATTGTCTCCTTGCATCCTCTTTCTGTTTCTGCTCTGTCGGCCTCCGTGGTGCAATTATTCTGAAGCAGAGGATGAACTCTATAAGAGGATAGGAAACAGCTGTTGTGTGGTGCTTTCCCCAGACATCTCCACCCATCTGCTCCTTCC